TCAGGGGGTGACGTCCTTCCCAGCGGAGGGGGCACTTACCTGTCTTCCGTGGTGTTAGAGGTGTCCTCTCAGGACAGAGACCTTTATTCCTGCCACGTGGAGCACAGTGCTCTGGCCCAGCCCCTCTCGGTGTCCTGGGATGGCAGGCAGAATGCAGGGGCTGGGGGTAGTGGGAAGACTCAGTCCCAGTAGCTGCCCTTTCTGCCTGTCGTGAGAGAGCTGAACTTCACAAGTCACCCTCAGTGGCATCGGCCAGGCCCGGGAGCAGTGCATGGGACAGACAGGCGGGGGATTCGCAGAGAGGACGCAGAACGCCGGGCACTGAGCTGACTCTCACGGCCACATCACCTCACCTTGCTAATCACGGCCCCAGTGTCTAATCTGTAGAACCTAATAAACAATAAACTTGCTCAGCAAAACACACACAGGTGTTTTTCATTTTGGAATACTTTCAAAGTGAGAACCAGCTTTACCATTCTGCCTACTCCTAAGCATTCAACTCCTCCCAAATTCTTGGTCTTTACTGAAAGCCATGTTTCCTGGGCACCTTGACCTGGGCCATCCCAAGTGTGAGTTAGACCACCTGGGCCCTTGGGTATTGTCCAGGCTTCCACTGCTGACATCCACAGATATGGCCATGGCCCCTCTGCCAGTGACGACCCGGAATTCTGCAACCTCTGCATCCTCTGCAAAACAAAATCAAGACTCTTCTGTGACCCAGTTTCCCCAGCACTCCTTCATTCCCTGTAAGACATCCCCCTCCACTCCAGCTGCTCCACATTGGCACAGCATGTTGGCCTTGACTCACACACAGCAGAGCTTAGTTGAAAACCCTCACCCCCACAGGGCACAGCTCAAGGAAGCAGGAACTGGCCCTGAGATTCTTAGACTCCTGCCAAATCCCCGTGAGCATGTTTGTTTAGCTAAGTCACCAATTGCCATACACAGGTTTCAACCCCAAAGACAGAGCAGAGCTCTCACACCTGACCTTTTCACTAAGCATCACCTGCCTAGGATTGTGTTTTTCTTTCTTGAGGGATAAGAACTTCCTGCACCTCCCAACCTGGATTACTCTAAAATCAGTCCTCCTAGCTGAGATCCTGAAAGAAACCATTCCCTGCCTTCAGAATCCTGACTCAAGCATCTCATCTTTCCTGAAAGCCTAAATTTGAGGTTATAACTTTTTTTTTAATGCTTCTGCTCCAAGTTGAAAATCAAAGCTAAGAAATTACTCCTTTAGTCTACATAAAATCCACATTCCCCTCTTCTGGCACAAAAAGTCCTATGTGGACAGTAGAGGGGTCCCAGAGAAAAAAAGACAGAAATAGTCAAGAGAAAAAATATCACAATTGATATTTCAACATATGATGACACCTTCTACAAATAAAAGAGAAAGGTTAAATATTTCAGATCAATGAGGAAATCAAAGTCCACGTGAACCGTCCAGGGCTGAGGAAGACTGGAGTGTGAGATCTGGCCTCACCTACAACAGGAGAGATGGATGCAGGCAGGTGAGGGGAAGGAAAGCTCAGAAGACTCAAGGCATGGCCAGGTGTGAAGAGGAGGACAGGGGCCCAGAGCCACTCAGACACCAGAGAAAACTTCCTGCAGGGACTCAGACTTCAGAGGAGATGGGAAGACTTAAGGCAGCTGGCCAAGAAGAGGTCAGAAGTTTCCTAACGAGATAGGGGTGAGGCAGCTGAGAGGGGAGGGTCACAGGGGCCTGACAAGGGAGGTGACCTGGGAGTGGGGCTGGGCCACAGGCATCCACTGAGCACACCAAAGACAATTAAGGGGTCCAGAGAGCCACATGTGGGTTCTTCCGGGGTCACCTCCTGCTCACAAACACATTGTCCTGCAGGCAGGGCCAACTCCAAGTGCAATTTCAGGAGGCCCAACCTGGAGAGGCTCTTTATCACAAATTATCTCCCTCTTTAGTAATTCCTCAGTCACTTTAGAATAGCATGTCACTCTGTACTTGGGGGAACCCTCTGCAAACAGCCCATCATCCATGGAAAGAACTGGCTTCCAGAAAACTGGCTGTGTCTGTATCCAATGAGTTTTATGTCATGCATTAAAAATTATCTTGAGAATAATTGGCAAAGGAGCACTTGGCACAAAAATGTTGAGAATCCCTGACCTAGAGGAATGGGGCAGCCAGAGTCCAGTCATGAAGGAAAGGACACAATCGCGGACTGTTCCCCGTTCATCACATGACAATGGACACGGCCACTGCCCAGGGCTCTCCACGATCTGATTCCAACTTCCCTTCTGTATTCATCACCCCCACAAACCCGCCCCTCAGTCATCTTCATGAACTCTGTTTCCACCCAATTGGCCTCAACAACCCTCACATGTGTCTGATCTCTTTCTTTTTTGTCCTTGCTCATTCATTTTCATTAGTGTTTATCAACTGTCTTCTTTCTCCCAAGCACTGGGGACAGAGAAAGGAACAGGACAGACACCCTCCCTGTCCTTATGAAATTTGGCCCCATCTGCCAACAGAAATTCTATCCCTGGTCAACGTGCTGCTCACCCTCCTCCCATGACGCCATTCCTGATGCCTTCCCAGACTGGAGATCTTTCTCCACGAAGCTCTTGTTCGTTAACACTGACCATCAGTGCCAGTCCTACAAGATGGGCAAGCATGTCTGAATCAGTTTGTTATCAGATGGATTAGATTTTGGTAGTTTTTCCACATTCATATTCTCTTTATTGATTTATTTTATTTTTTTATTTCATGGTATTACAGGGTTACAAATGTTTGGTTACAAGGATCACTTTTGTAATACTGGAGTCAGGGTTATAAGTGTACCCATCACCCAGATAATGTTCATTGTACCCCTTAGGTAGGTTTTCACCAGTCACCTCCTCCCCATTCCCCACTGCATAACTCTAATTTTATCTTACGGAGGTTTTTGGTGTGTTTGTTTTGCTTTGACGTATATATAATTTTTGTTTTTGGAGACGAGGGTGTCACTATTTATCCCAGGCTGGGCTTGAACTCAAAACTCTCCCACCTCAGCCTCCTCGGTAAGTGGGACCACAGGTGCACCCTACAAGTATCTGACCCACCCTCATCTATTTAGGTCTTAATAATAGGGCTTTATTGGTGGTTTTTTTCTCTTTCATTCCAGCAACTATGAAAGATAAAAAATTCTTTCTGTTCTACTACAGAAATTGCTCAATATTCAGACTGTGCTGTGAGTCACTCATTTCTGCATCTGAGTTTATTCTCTTTTTCTTTATGTTTCCTACCACTTCTGGACTCAAACTTCCCAGCCCTTGGACCTTGGTTTCCTCATGTTCTTCACTCTGTCTATAGTATCAGCCACTGGGGACTTACACTGTTGCCTTCTAAGAACATTTTAGCCTAGTCCACCACAATACGACACTCAGCCAGCTGTTTTACCCACCACTGCGCACCAGGCCTGCAAGAAACCCCCCAGGACCTCTGCACAGTCAATGCCTTCAGCCCCAATCCGGCCCTGTAACCAACGTCAGGTTGCCATCCCTCCATTTCCCTGAGCGACCGCTGCCTGAAAACGATCCTTGTGCCAATTTCTTATCAGTCAGGATCATTCATCATTTCAAATATAATTGAAATCTGACTTTAAGCAGAAAATAGATTTTTCTATTGATTAGCTCTCAGAGTCCACACAGAGGACAAAGAGCCCAGACTAAAAATTAGGCAGGAGAAGCATAGTCACACCCCACTAGTCCTGGAAACACACTGCAGCCGCCAGCAGAGGTCACCAGATGCCACAGTGAGGACCAATATGACGCCACCATGGACTGGACACTGGACGCCCCCATGGCTACTGCTGCCCTGCTGCCCCCAGGAGCTGGCAGTTGCAGCCACTGCTGAGACCAACAGAAGGGATTGTCCCCCACGGTGCCTGCTTCTCTGTTTCCCTGACCCTGACTCAGTGTCCAGGGCAAAAGCTCCTGCCTGCTGAACCTACGCCATGTGCACACCTGGTCCTTCTATGGCAAGGGAGGCTGCAAAAGGGGGAATCTGGCTGTTTCTTCTTCCATGGTGGAAGATCAGGATTCCCCAAGCATAGAAATGCAAACAGGAAGAGATGTGAATGTCCTTCACGCAGAGCTCTGGCAGGGTAGGGTGGGAGACAGTGATGGTCCCACCCCTGCCGGGATCTACTCATGTCCAGGTTTTCAACATGTTGAGAGCTTTTCCAGAGAGGAAGGATGAAGTCTAGTCTGACAACACCCTAATTCCCCTACTCCCCCCATGGGGATGTCATCATAGACTGGGAGGGTGACACACATCCCAGCCATCTGCCCCCTGCCACACACAGCTCCAGCCCACTGACATCCTTCCACCTGAGACATACACAATGCCCCCCTCCCGAGACCAGCCATCTCAGCTCGCAATCTACAGACCGTGTCTGTGGTCCCACTGACCACAACCTCTGCCCAGCCTGGTTCCTGTGTCCTCTTTCCTCGCTGTCAGGGGAGGAGCCCGTCCTGTCACTCCCATTGGCCTGTAGATTCTCCTCCCCTGGGCAGGGCCCCAGGACCCAGGGAAAGACCTGTGTTTCCTGCCCAGAACCTCACAACCTGCCAGCCAGGCACAATGGTAACAATGGTGCCTGTCCTGCTGTCTCTACCGCTCCTTCTGGGTCCTGTAGTCCCCCAGGAGGCCCAAGCTGGTGAGTGGGGAGCAAGGGGTGGGGACTGGAGAGGCCTGGAAGGAAGGTGAAGAACAGGACAGATGCTCTGGGAGGAGGCCCAGATGCAGCTGGGATTCCCGGGTGTGCGATAGCAATGGGTGTCCAGGGATATCACCTAACTCAGCTCACACACAGCTAGGAGTATTTTGGGAACCTCTGTTCTCATGCAAAATAAGAACTTAAAGAATCTGAATCTAAAATCCTTAGTTCACAGACGAAAAAAACAAAGACTAGGTCACAGAGGAACAGTGACTTGCCTGGGGTCCGACAACCAGGACGAAGAAGGAACCGTACATGTAGAGCTTCTTCTGCTCTTGTTCCTTCCCTCCTTCCAATGGCTGGATACACCTGTCCGACTCTGAGGGCAAGAGAGGGCACCCCGGGGGTGGGGGGGGAAGGGGAAGGCAGGGTAACTGGAGGGATTGGAGGGGTGGCGCTAGAAGGGAACCCGTGCTCTCACCCCACAGGCGGACGCTGCTGTAGTGGGTCTGCAAGGTGAGGGGCCAGGAGAGAAGACAGCAGGGACCCGGGGAGATCCAGAGTCAATTCCAGGACAGGGGGATGAGGCTGTTTATGACATGGAAATATTCAAGATAGATACATGTAAGCTCATGATTTCTCAACTGGGCAAGCTTAAAATTCCTTCCATTAACAAATTGTCAGAATACTTATTTCATGTTAGTTTTATAGCAATCACATTTAGAATGATAATCACATTCTGCCCCAAAATCTGAATGAGTCACGTTCCCCAGAGAAACAGTCCTAATGTGAAGAACATGTCTATATGTTTTCTACGTATGCACATATGTACAGAAAGAGGTATTTGTATGTATGTCTATAAAAGAGAGATTTATTTCAAGGTATTGGCTCACACAATTGTGACACCTAGCAAGTCCTAAACCTGCAGGACAGGCCAGCAGGCTGCAGACCCAGGGGACAGTTGATGATGGTTCAGTCTCGAGTCCAAACACAGTCTGGAAGCAGAATTCTTTCTTCTATGGGGGGCCCTCAGCCTTTTCTCTTGAGGTCTTCACCTCAGTGCACGATGGCCACCAGGTTATGGAGAGTGACCTGCTTTACTCAAGTTCTACTGGTTTGAATGTTAATCACATTTAGAAACGAAGAAGCAAGAATAATTTCACCACTTAAACTAGGAATCTGCCATATAACCTCCAACATCAGTAACACCCATGTGAGTGATATCATCACTGAATTAGGGAAAGAGCCCTGGCTCCCAGCTCCCATCTTGTACCACAATGCGAAGCACAGCCCTGGGAATTCTGAGATCCATCCTAGTCTTACCTGTGCTGATCCATTCTAGGTCATTTCTTGAGTTTTCTAGTGAATTCTCCTTTCTACACTTTCTAACTGTAAGTATTTCTCAGGCTTGACTAGAAATGTTTATTTCTTGCTCATGCCAAGTTCAGTGCAGATTAGGCAACTTTCCTCTCCTCCATGGGGTCACTCGGGTATCCAGGTTGTTTGCATCATCAGAGTATTCAGTTTTCTCCTGTGGCCCCCACATTCAACACCTAAAGGAAAGAGAGACAGAAGGGCCAAGGCAGCTCCTAGGGCCTTGGACCAGGAGAAAAACATCCCTTCCACTCGTATTCCCTTTGGCCAAAACTCAGTCACATTGTCCCAATATAGCTATAAGGAGGCTGAGAAATATCTTTTTGTTCTGTGCCAAGCAGAAAAAACATCATAGTGAAGACACAGAATGGTCCCGGAAACGCCATCCCCATAATGAAACAGCCTGTTCTCTTGAGGGAGGTTCCAGTGGTGTGAGGCTGACTGAGGGCAGAGAGCTGGGGAGGGGGAGGCCCAGTGGCCAGGTCTTCCCACCTGGCCCTCTGCAGCCCCACGGTGGGACTCTCCTGCAAGGACCCCACCCCTCAGAGTCTTCTCCTATTTGCAGGTTGTTACTCTCTGACTTATCTCTACACCGGGCTGTCCAGGCCTAGAGAAGGCTACCCCTGGTTGCAGGGCACTGTCTTCCTCAATGACCAGGCCTTCTTCCGCTACGACAGTGCAAGTGGGAAGGCTGAGCCCCTGGGACCATGGAGACACATACAAAGAATGAAGGATTGGGAGAAGGAGAGCCAGCTTCAGAAGTTCAGGGAGGGCATATTCCTAGAGACGCTGCAAGACATCATGGCCTATTACAACGACAGCAACGGTCAGTGCACAACAGATGGTTGGGTGGAGGGTCTTAGCTCAGAGGTAGGGGTAAGGGGTCAGAGGGAGGGAAATGGTCCCTGTCCCAATGAGGAACAGGAGGCACAAGGAGAGATGAACAGATATATGAGCATCCGCCACCCCAGAGCACCCGCTTCCTCCCGCCCTGGTGCTCCCCATCCTCACCCCAGGCCTCAGCACACACCAGGAGAGATGCCAGAGTCACGCTTTCTCCAGGCACCTCTGACTTCTCTCCTCCACATCCAACCTGTCTGAGGCTGACCCCACTGGAGAGGGTCTCAGACTCACCCCTGTCCCAGGGTGCTGGGTCCACAGTGAGGAACTCTTGGCATCAGTCACACCTGGGTTCGCAGGGTCGAACCTCCACTAGCTGTTGACAGTGCACGGGTTCCTTAATTACCTGATCTAAATCTGCACAAACTGAAGCAGTGGGGCCTACCTCCAAGAGATGCTATAAAATTTATCTGTCTGTTCCATGAAGGAGAAAACAATCTATCTCAATTTCCCTTGTATCCCATCACCTAGGACAGGGTGCAGTCAACATTTGCTCAATCTAAGTACTTTGAATGAATAGAGAAAGAAAACCTACCACACACCATAGCCCACTCTGGGAACTCAGTAAGTTCTGGATTTAAAACGACAGACTGTTAGAGTTACCTGGAGCCATAAAGGTGCTCCTGTCCATACGGAACAGATATAGGAAGCGTCATGCATGTGCGGTGTGGGGAGCTGGGGCAGAGCCAGCACAGAGAGCTGTCCCTGTGTCCAAGCCTGGCATTCTCTCTCCTAAACCACACTCCCTACCTCCCTAGGCAGCCAATCTCAGGCCTGGTGGACTTTGGATGTCAAATTATTATATGGTGGGTGTTAAAATGTGGGCTTCTGAGTACAAAAATGCCAAGAAGCTACATGGATATAAAGGTTAGCAAAAGGACACGAAAGATCTGCAGAAATCTGGAGGATGTGGAATGGGAAGTCTTGGTAAGGAAAGCGGCCCGGGCTGTGTGTCAGAAATAGGAGAGGGGAGGGCACAGGTGCCCAGGAAGGACACTGGGGTGGGGGGGTCATTCATTGACTGGAATACAAATGTCAAAGTGAATAGTTATGAGGAAAGAGGATGAAGAAATAAACACAGGCATTAGAAATTAATAGGCGGTAACACTTATTTGGCACTTGCTATGTGCCAGGCTCAGATACTAACATGATCAATGCTCACAGTAACCCCCACATTGGTATTTTGCCACTGCCTTTTCACAGAGGAGCAAAGAGAGAGCACAGAGAGGTTACTGACTCAAGGTCATGAAACAAGCCAGGTGGGCATGGGGAGAGATCTGGGATTTGAGCCCATATGGCTTGAGAGCTCTCAGAGCCTGTGCCAACAGCACTGACCAGTATTTGACAAACACCTACTTTTACAATCACAGTGAAGAAGTTGTGTCACTCTGCCCAAAGGAGGTCAGTTTCTGAGAGTTGTTGCTAATAGGCAAGGGAGTTTGAGTTTTACAGGTTTGAAATAAAGGTATCAACCACTGGAAAAGAGGGAAGAAGTGTTCCCATTTGGTTTACTCAAGTGATGATATGAACACCTAGAACTCACGGTGAAGAAGAGTCCCATAATCTATAAGAAACAATTAAAAACCTATTAAATTTAGTAATGCACTTTGGTGTGGTGGTGACAGGTTCCTCTGCACTTGCCAGAAATTCAAATGAAGAGATTCGTTAGATGACATGCCGCAAAGGAACAGAACTCTGACCCTATTCTATAAGTCTCTGAAGTTTCCTGGCTGGAAAGAGTGTATCTCACTTCAGACTGTCCTTAAACACCAAATTGGAATTTGTGCCTCTCTGCCTGCTGTATGTCCAGATATTAAGTTATTTGTCAGGATAAAGGGACTGCATGCGTAGATTTCAGAAACCATTCATCCTATTGAGTTGAAAGCGTGCAGGAGGAAGAGTCATTCAGATGTGCTTGGCACCAGGCTGACTGGCTTCCTCTGGGTTTGGGGGAGGCTCCAGGGTCTCATACCTTACAGGAACGGTTGGGTTGTGAACTCCAGAATAACGGAAGCAGTGGAGCATTCTGGAAATCTGCCTATGATGGAAAGGACTTCATTGAATTCAACAAAGAAATCCCAGCCTGGGTCCCCTTGGACCCAGCAGCCTGGAACACCAAGAAGAAGTGGGAGGCAGAGGAAGTCTACCTGCAGCGTGCCAAGGCATACCTGGAGGAGGAGTGTCCTCGGATCCTGCAGGGGTACCTGAACTACAGCAGGCATATCCTGGACCGGCAAGGTACTCACCGCTTCCTGCTCCC